TCCTCACTTGGAAAAACGTGTTAGAGTTGTGGGATCTGTAGAGAGAGTCAAAAGAGAGCTTTTACTTCTTCAATCGAATCAGATTCGCCGCCAATCCTGAGAGGTGCTCTCCAATCTGGCCGCTTTTCAATATTCAAAAGAAGGGAATTTCTGATTTTAGAAAATGTCAAATGTTTGTCTTTGATTATCAAATAAATAAACCCTCAAAGTTTTGAACATTCTCAACATTTTGCCGCAAGTAATGAAACGTGACAATACGCATCCAAATTTGCCAAAACAAACCACAGTTTTATCATCGTGAAATATTTTTTTTTTAAAAGTCTATATCAGGAAGAAGGTAAGACTAAAACACACCATTGCAAACAAATAAACCCGATTAATCACCACTTTTCTAATGTGAGAACGCAATGGAGACTTTGTTGTTGTGAGAAAGTGTTGGAACCATCATCTTAAACCTAAGGTAACGACGTTCTTCAAACAACACGAACATCTTCTCTAATGCTTTTTGTGTTTTTAAGCAGTAGTTTCACGAATGAAACCAAGTGTTTTGGCTCTAAATCCTCAAAGGCAAAGGACTTGTTCCAACAGACTCCATCTATTGATTTCCAACATTGAACCGGATTCAAGCCTTGAAATTTCAAGTTGTAGTCAAGATACTCTCCCTGTACAACGAAGGGAAAAAAATAAAAGACATGGTTCTGGGATTATTCTTATTCGATGACAGTTAGATTGCCAAGGAATATAAAAGAGGTTTACCGGTATGGTGTGGAGGCTTCTTGTGTGTACTGAGTAACTTTTGACATATCTTCCGATTGGAGCTTAGATTAGCAAGAGACTTTTATTATTGTGTAATAAAAATGAGTCCATATAATTAGGAAGAAGATGAAGAGTGATCATCAGTATTAAGTCAAACAATTTAAATAAAGGTCTTGAAGAAACAAAGAAGATGGCCTCAAACCTTCAATCGTCTCTCCTTTTTTCATGTTTCGGGGAAGACCAGCAAACTCATGTGCATATGATATTGCTAAACACTAAACTCAGTCTGTAATTTATCATACCACCCTTGAAAATTATACTCCAAACTCGTTAAATTCAGTAGTTGAAACTTGAGCTGGATAAACAAAAGAATGTAACACCCTTAAAGAGATAATTTTGAAATTCAACCAGATTCAGCTGATCCACCATGTAAAATGGTCAATAAGACTCAGAACTACATCTCTTCTAACGTGAGAATGCAATGGAGACTTTATTGTTGTGAGAAAGTGCTGGAACCATTTCTATAAACCTAAAGTAACGGTTTCCCCATAGAAACATCTTCTCTAATGCCTTTGTGTACTGAAGCATATGTGTATCTAAGTGCTTTGACTCTACATCCGGACATGTCTTGTTCCAACGAACCCCATCTATTGATTTCCAGCATTGGTCCGGATTCAGGCCTTGCGAATCCAAGTACTTGTCAAGATACCATCCCTATACAACAGAAGAAAATAAAACACATGGATCTTGGCTTATTTAAAAATTAAATTCGATGATAGCTANTTAGAATAGAATTATGCCAAGGAATATATAAAAGAGGTTTACCTGTATAGTGTTGCAATTGATTGTTATGTGTACTGTTAGCTTCTTTAAATCAGGCGAGTTTTGTAANACCTTCTCNACACCAGGAATAACATATTGAGAGATATGTGTCTCAAGTGTCAAAGCTTTGGCCTTTAACATCGGAAAAGGAACACCATAAATCTGGGCAAAAGATAAAACCTAATAGAAAATAAAAATTAATCCGAAAATATATATACCCCACACATAACACATAGATTTAAAATAAAAAGTATGATGTGGATGATGTGTCTTGAGAAAATGTTACTCTTGTATGTAGATATCAAAGCCTAATGCAACAAATCCATCAAGTGCAAAGATGACCCTAAAACATACCTGAAGAAAGCTTGCACCCAAAGTTAGCTTCTCTACATGCCGCAAATTTTCAAGCATCTTTACCACAATGAGAGGAAGAAAATCATGCTTCGTGATTGTTTCATACAAAGAAAGGCCAATGTTCAGATTATCTTCGGTTATAGACGAGGTATCAATTAAAGTTCATGGTTGCGTGATTGTCAATCTTAGACGACGGACATCTGATGCTATAATCTTCATTATTTTCGTTGGATTTAAACCGTAGTAGCATTGTACATCTAGTGTTCTCAGACCCAGTGATTTGCTGAGATCAAGAAACGTAATTTCATTGCACTGATACAATCTTAAGCTCTCGAGAATCGAACAACCAGATAGAATCTTAGCCAAGGAGTCATTAGAGATACGACTACAACAATTCAAAGACAGGCTCTTGAGTGATGTCCAAGACACAGAGCTTGTGGGAGCCAAGTGTAGTGTAATTGTGAGTTGCTTGACAGAGGAACTTATGTAGAAGAAATCAGGAACCGTATACTCCCTGGCAAACATGAACTTCAGGGACAGTTTCTCCACGTTGCGGGACATGGCGAACTCGATCCACTTGTGGAGGTGGGGAGTATTGTTGGTCTTGTTGATATGGAGTTTAAAACGCATCAACTTCGGAACAGTGTAGCGACTTAGGGTTTCGTTAACCAAAGCAGCTTCCGGTATACTATTGATATCGAAAGAGACAGAAGGTGTATCCAACCATACATGTCTCCATCGTTTTGACAAGAGTGAAGTTCTGATGACGAATTTGGTCGGAATAAAGGAGAGAATATGTTGGAGGATGACATCAGGTAGAGAGCTTACAAAGTCTTCTTCAGCTCCTTTTTTCCTTTTTTGGCGGCGGACTTTATTCATTTTGCGGCGGCGGAGGAAACGACGACCACCATAGCAGTGGATGGAGTATGAACTCTCAGCTATATAAATTTCTCAACTACGATTTGCGATTTTCTAAGGGTTTATTGTGAAACAGCTTTAAACCAAGCCCTGCCCAGGCTTGCCCGGAGTGTATTTGCAAATGCCCATTTGTTTAAAAAATAAATTTTGGCATTTTTTTTTGGCAAAACAGGCCCCAAATTTTTTTTTTTTTTGAAGAGAGGACTCTTTTCTAGAATTTTTGATATATAAAGGTAAAAAAAAAAAATTTGCTCTGCGCCCAGTTTTACATTAGATCGGGTATGTTTTAAACACACGAGTCTCTTCTTACAATTA